TTGATGTGGACACCATACTGAGCCTCCATGGTCTAGCTATGGCGCTGCTTGATCAGAAGAAGTTTGAAGAAGCGGTAATTACGTATCGGCGTGCGGTGGGCAGTATGGAGAGGGCACTGGGACCCGATCACCCATTCACACTCGAGAGCATCAACATGCTAGGCGAAATACTGCTTGATCTGAGAAAGTATGAGGAAGCGGAAGTTATGTGTCGACGTGCTCTGGCAGGTAGAGAGAGGACACTTGGACTACTTCATCGAGATACCTTACTCAGTGCCAATAATCTTGGAGTGGCACTGTGTAATGAGAGAAAGCACTACGAAGCGGAGGTTATGTATCGGCGTGCCTTTCTGGGTGCGGAGGAGATGCTTGGAGTAGATCATCAAGATACCCTCCTGTGCATCTATAACCTAGCTGGGGCGTTGTACAAACAGGGAAAGTATTACGAAGCGGAGATGATGTACTGGCGGGCGCTGGCGGGGCGAGAGAGAGTTCTTGGACCAGGCCATCCACATACCCTCCGGTGCATCATTAAGCTGGTTGCCGTGTTGTATGATCAGAAAAAATTCGGTGCAGCGGAGACTATGTATCAGCGTGCTGTTACGGAGGGGGAACAAGCTCTAGGGCCAGATTATCGGGAGGGTCTCAAAAACACTAGCTGCCTCGCGATGTTTCTCCAGATACGGGGATTAGGTACTGCGGGCGAGTCGGTATTACCGAAATAAAGGATTGTGTTTGAGCAGCGGGCAGGGTGAATTGTTCTAATTGTCTTTTTCCAGAACTTTCACCGGTTGCCTTTGGTTATGGTGTGTTGTCCTCTTGCCTTAGGTTAAGCATGGAGTATTGGTGTTGGATTTTCTTTCTTTATATCCGCAACGATTAGGCCTTAGGTCTCGGGCATCTGTCTTCGTTTGGCTCTTTTGTGTTTTACACCCTTCTGTGTAGACCATCCCGCTCCGGGTTGGCCGTCACTAGGATTGTGAACTTTTGGGGGGTGGTCACTCGTCCTTTCACTTTCTTGTTAGTGCCTTTCCCCTTTCATTCCTTTGAATTTTGTTCGTTCTTTATCCTTTTAGGTATGTTGTTTAGTCTCTATTAATGTTAGTTTTTTTAGAAGAATATATATATCCCTTCGTCTCCCCACATAGCGTCTTATTAATTGTCTAGCTCATGACTCTCTCACGTCTAGCACGAGTTCCGCTTGATCAACGGTAACCCTATTCTCACCCTTTTACGCTTTCGTAGTTTCTTAGGGGGGGTATGGTGTACAGTACGCAAATCCTCCTGGTTTTGTCTCAACCAGACTGGAGGTGGGTTCATAGGAGGTCAAATATTTTATTTTCCCAATCTCGCACTTGGTGTAAATACTGCAATTTCCAAATTATATTACTGTCTGGGAATCTCGGAAATGGGATATTTGAGACCCCCTGCTGAGTAGGAAATTGGTTGAACTCTCTTGGGGATATGTGCCGTATTCTTACATGCATCCGATTGCCTTTTTTACCTATCATTCATATCGCCGTCTTGGTTTTGCACTCTTGGTCAGCCACTTCTTCTTACCGGGTTACCCACATTTCTGATAGAGCGGTTCCAATCACCCTCTGCTTTCAGAAGGCCGCAAAGGTGTTGAAGACGTGGTAAGCTTTTGTGGGCGTACAGAATTCGAATAGGGTAGTAATAACTTATGAGTTGTAAGCCCGCACTGGTAGGACTACGATGAGTGGTAGGAGAGGCATGCTGCTGGGTATGCTACATCGCGGCGGACTACCACAGCAGCTGGTACAACATTATCAAAAGGTCTTGATATATAGACCTTTTTAAGTCCGTACAGTATCGCTATGGTATCGAAAGAGACCAGTTCCCGCGATACCTCGCTAGAGGGAATATTGCGGTCTTTCACTGCACATTGGGATCCGAGAATTCACCGCCCTTCACTACATGGGAATACCAGGGGAAACGATCCAAGCTCTCTCGGGTAACATTTAATCATTAGATTACATTATAGCGAGGGGATCTATCTCCGGAGGACAAAACGAGGCACTACGTGGCCAAAGTTAAAACTAAAAGACTTCTTAAACTCCGTGAAAAATTAACCATGAGGTGATAGAGTAGCCTACTAACTTCAAACTAATAAATGGGGACAAAGAAAGAAAGAAAGTATTTCGTCAAACCATTAGAGTATAAAGGGGGAGGGGGGCACATTTTGCGAGGCAGAATCGAAAAGTCACTGGCAAGTTCTGAGAAAAGCGGTAAACGAGTGATATCCCGTGACCTGTTTGGGGGTTATTCAAAGTGTTTAGCAAGAAGTACCGAGTTCGAGGGTGAATGCCATTGGACGGGTACCCGGGTTAACGGTTGGAATGGCGATCTGCGACGCGTTCCACATCAGCGGTGGGTTTTCTCCATTTGATTTAACTGAAGAATACGGAAAATGCCACAAGTCCGGGAACAAGAGCGAAAAATGGGGTGCTCTGCCGAGGATGCATTCCATGGTGGGAGAGTCTCTGGTGGTCCATCGAAAGCCTCACAGAATCGATTCCACTTGCCCTACGTATATTAGGTTTCTTCGGCTACCGTCCATTGGCGTCATCTTGCGTGTGAGGTATCATGGTTCTCCTGGTGTCCTGCCCTTACCCTGTGTTCCTTTCAATTTGGATCGTTCTTTCTGCTTTCTAGAATTTTATTTAGCTTCTAGTGATGTTAGTTGTTCAGGAAGATGTATATATCCCCCGGCCTCCCCCTCTAGCATCCCCATCAATTGTCTAGTTTGTGACTCTCTCAGACTCACCCCGAGTTCCGCTCCATCCGCGGTAAACTCATTCTTGTTGATGCTGGATAGCGCTATTCCGGGAGAGTGCAATGTGTCGTTGTAGTGTAGTGCTTGGAAGTGAGACTTGAGCTGCACCGGATTTTATACGAACAATGAAGCGGGTGGTAGAACATACCAGAGGGGATGGAAGATATTAGAGGTTAGCGTGGAAAGCTCTAGAGACCAGGAGACTTAGATATACTTTTCTTTTGTTGTGAAGGATCAAGGTCATAGAGGAGCGAAGAGTCCTGTAGCGAACAGGAGATAGTTCTAGAGTTTCCGGTCCTAAATTACTATATCTAGCCCTGCCTTTCCTGAACATGTCCGGTAGAGAACGAGCCTCTAACGAATTTGAGGTATGATAGAACTCAAGCGAAATACCATCTTATCCTCTTATATCTCCCTTATCTGATCATCTCTCATCTCCCCACTCCTACTGCGCACACTCACCGCTGACAATTCTCTGTTTTATCCCTTTGTGGCTTCTTCGAGTATTGGGGTATAGCGTACGTAAAATCTCTCGGTTTTGCCTCAGCCAGACTGGAGGTGGGTTCGCAGCGGATCAAAGGGGGAACTTATTCTCCCAGTCCCCCGAAATACTACTTCATTTGGAAACTGTGACAGCCGAGAAATATTTTTGCCTTTATTGTGATATTTTAATATAATATTATGATGGCAACTATAGCCTGTCGCCAAGCGTGCCAGTCGCGGCAGTCCTTTATGGCCTGTGCTCCGCACCACATGATTCAATAGAGGAGAGGAGGATTTGTGATACTAGACTGATTTTATGATGGCACTGACGGGGTGGGTAGACCGCCGACATAACTTCCCACTCTAACACGATTCGATGCAGGACAACAGGCTATCGGGGTGCGCTTTTTCCAGTGTAAATCTCATCTGAGGTCAACTTGGGCATATATCATAGTACGTCCCACGGTGGAAGAGGATCTAATTTTGGGGCAAAGTGCACTGGGAGTGTAACACCGCAGACAGGAATCGAACGCTACAGATAGCCCGATTTGCCGACACCTGAGGCACAGGGTCCCCTCTAGCACGAGTTGAAATAATCCTACTTGGAAGGAGCCAGGACGAAATAGTATAAGGTCAACACTCACAAAAAGGGCGGAGGTGACCTTGCAACCACAATCGGCTCCTCGCGCCCTCATCCAATAAGTACTACAATTTCCAAATTATATTGCGGGCTGGGAAACTCGGAATTGGAAATTTTCGGACTCTCTACGGAGTTGGAAATGGGGAGAACTCCTTTGTGGATTTATGCCGTATTCTTACATATATCCGAGTACTATTTTTTTACCCATCATCCAAGTAGTTGTCTTCTTGGCTTTGCACTGTTGGGCAGCTACAACCTTCTCCTCACAAAGTTCCTTACACCTATGACAGAGCGGTTCCAATTACTTGCTGCCTGCAGAAGGCCACCACGATGCCGAAGATGCAGTGGATTTTTGTGGGCGTAGAACATCTGAATAGGATAATGCTAAATAGTGAGTTGCAATTCAGCCCCCTCTAGGATTATGATTGGCGGTAGTGCGGGCATGCTGCTATAGTGTTACATCGCGGCGGGTTAGATGGCGGCTTGTGCGACATTATCAAAAGGTCTCAGTATATAGACCCCTTTACGCCCGTATAATATCAGTGTGGCGTTAACGAAGAGTGGTCTCCTCGACACCCCGCTGGAGGGAGCTTGCGGACTCGCACCGCGTATTGGGATCAAAGGATTCAATACCCTTGGCCACATCAGAATACCCGAGGAAACAACTCAAGTTCTCTTGTATGTTATTCAATTATTCGATTGCATAGTTGTGAGCACCCAGCCAGGTACTTGATGGCGAAAGTCACAAACTTGAGAACCTCTCTAAAAACCTCCGTGAGGAAAAAAAACCAAATTAGGTGATATACTAGCCTATCAGTTTCAAACTATGGACAAGGAATATATGTTCTTTCGCTATAGTGAGACTATTAGGGCATAATGGGGGGGCACTTTTTGTGCGGGAGAATTGAAACGCCGGTGGTCGGTTCAGATGGAGAGCAATGAGCGGGTGATACCCTGTGACCACTTTACAAGGGCTCGAAGTTTATCAGACATAACAAAGTGCTTGGCCCGGCAGGAAGCACGGAGTTTCAGAGGGGGCGTTATTAGATAGGTATCTGGGTTAGAAGATAGAATCACTATATGTGACGCGTTCCACATCAACAGCAGATTTTCTACATCTGATTTGAATAATACGCACCCATATGGATGAAGAGTGCGGAGAATGCCACCAGTGGGGAAACGGTAGCGAAGCGTGGGGTGCTCCGCCAAGTATGTATACGAGGGGGAATTGCGAGTACTCCACCCTCGCATAAATGATTCCTCTTGCCCCATACTTGGTTTCTTCGGCTACCGTACCATCTGTTGGCGCCATCTTGCATGTACTGTACAGTACCGGTATGTGAATACTTGATGTATGCAGGTGTGGGCTTCATTCCCGGACTGCATGGTTTCGTGAAGGGGTTTGCGGAGCCACCGTTGGATATCGCCGGTACTGAAAGAATAATATTCGGTCGGATCGGTAAAAGGTAATCGTAGTTGGTTCGAAGAGGATTTGGATAGAGCAGTGGACAGATGAAAACAAAAGGGCGTAAAATCAAACAAGGATCCACGATAGGTTGGATAGGTTGGAACAGCACAGTCCTTCGGCTTATTCCTGTGTCTAAAATCGTAGAGTTGTTTAAATTCACTCCAACTTCACTCGTATATTGGTTTCGATAGTGTTCGGATTTCGTAGTTCAGACTTGTTTTCTTTTTGTGGGTTGGGCAGTCGGGGTGAGCTTTCCTCCGTGCCAAACGAGTCTTAGGCCGGTCCGCACATATGTCCTGTGCGAATTCTCACAGTGGAAGGGGATATAGTTTTCGCGGAAGGTGCACCGTGTGGGTGAGAGACGGGATGTGAATCTCGACGGGAACTAAACACCCGTGGGTTCCTTGCATTGTTAGTCCACACCTCAAGCGCACAGCCCCTATCTAGAATCAATCCAACAATCCTACATGAGAGAAACTGTGACGAAATAATACGAAGTCAAATCACAAAAGAGGGAGTGGGGCTTGGAGATGCAATCTGCTCCTCCCATTTCGTGGGCACTGTGAGTCCAAAATTACATGTTCCGGGCCGATGAAAGAAAAAAGAAAACTGCGAATTGGAGAATTTGGGCCCTCTGTCGAGTCAGGAATGGGTAGAACTATCTTTGTGGATATATGGCGTGTTCT